TGTTAAAATAGACTGTTTGCTTTCAGTTTATCAAAGTTGTGCGTGAGCCAACTGAACGTGTGAAAACTTCCATAGTGGTGTGCTGAAATGTGAGGAAATGCAGATCAAAGTAGAAAAAAAGCAAAAAAGCTCCTTGTGTTTTTGCAGTATTCACTCTAATTCTTAGTTGAATTAAGAACTGATTTGCTAGGTAAGATTTGGGATGGCAACATATTCATTCATTTTTTATGTTTTTGAGAGAAGTCTCATGTTCTCACTATGGCTGCATTTATCTGATCAAAAACACAGTAATATTGTGAAATATTATTACAAATTAAAACAACTGTATTCTATTTGAATATATTTTAAAATGCATTTTATTCCTGTAATGGTAAAGCTGAATTTTCAGCAGCTGTTACTCCAGTCTTTATTGTCACATGATCCTGCCAAAATCATTCTAGTATACTGTCATATTGTCTCCAAACTTTTGAATGGTAGTATACATTGACATACAATTCAACATTCTCCACTATTTCGAAGTCATTAGGAAAATGTGATAAGTGATAATGATCATGTGAACTTTGTGCAGATGGTTAGAAGTATTCTTCATTGAACCAGAAGATGCTCTTTGGATCTGCTGTCATTAAAGCAGAACAGAAGCATTTTCCCTAGTGGTGTCAGACTTCTTGGACCCCACAGTGTCTATCCTGCTCGTTTAATGTGCGTTTAATGTGATAAACAGTTGAATGTAAATGGCAGTAGACACAGAGGCAGCTTAGATTGAGGATAGACACTGCAAACGTTACTTGAGCCCTGTGTGTGTGAGTCTTTGTGTGTGTTTCCTTGAAAGTGTCTGAAAAGGAGGATAAGGTAAGAGTGTAAGGGGAGAAAGAGGGGCCAGAGGCTGGAGAGAGGGAAAATCAGCACAGGGAGGAAAAGTAGATGGAGAAGAAAAAAGGAGTGCAGAGCTGGTACTGATATCCACTGCATCAGTGAGACATGCTTCACATTCCATCACTTCATCAGAGCTTGAAAATGCTTTTAATAGGCTCTTAATGGGACTCAAGCTGCTGAACAACCTGCTCCCACTCCCACAGTTGGCTTAAGACTAAATATTTACATTATCTCAAAGAGAAGACATGGCGATGAATACCTGTGATGGGAAAACTGATTTTGTTTGTAAGGTTATGAAATATTTTAGAGGTCCCAGAATCATATCTTTTATTTTATTTTATTATTTTATTTTATTTTATAATTTAATTTAATTTTTTTTGTTATTTTATTTTATTTATTTATTTTTTATTTTATTTATTTATTTTTATTTATTTATTTTTTAGACTCGAGTCATTTTCCAATACAGTGCTTTCAGTTGTGAGTTGTAATGGCTAGTGCCCTTTAGCTTTTTACATCAGGACAATTTTGGTCATTTCTAGCCATCAAGACCTCCATTTGCAGTGTGTGGTGATAATGGTCTGGTTGAAAGGTTGAGCGATAGTTCAGCCAGGACATTATGTAATAATCTGTCTGAGAGCCCCTTGCTGTGCCAGGTCCAATCTCAAAACGTCATCAGGTCCGAGTGTGGGTTATGTTACTGGGATATGTCATCTTTATAACCACTGTAGCAATGTTTTAATTTTTGAAAGGTAAACAAAAACAGGGAAACAGAGAATCCCTTGTCCCCTGTAGGCAAATTCTAGTTGTAAATTCTTGGTCACATGAAAACATGTGGTACTGTTGATATGCATTACTGTCTGGGGTATATTGAATATGAAAATATAAAAAAGCTATGCTAAAACTGTTTACTCATATTAACACATGAAAATTTAAGCACTTAACATTTTTCTATTTAAAAAATCTGTATCTTATTATCTTTACAGTTTTTTGAAAAGTAGACACCACTGTTGTTAAATTTAGTGGATTTGTGTTGTATTAGTATTAGTAAGAATAAATGGACTATTTTCCACCAGAACACAAGTGGGCAGCTTTAAACTGGCCTGATTAATAGAGTGTGAGCATTATGTAATTAAGGGCAAGTTCTCGACATCGGAGGGATAGAGAGGGGCATGATGGGATTATGGAGTGACTCAGGATGTGTAGTGCTTGCCAGCGAATCAGCAGTGTGTAACATCCAAAGCTCAATGCAGAATCTGATAGAGTCTGTGTTTATGTTTGTATTTGAGACGGAATGAATATCTGACCAGTCCCAGTAATTATACATAATGGCCATGCTAGTCCACCAGCTGGACCGGCACCATATTGATACTGTACGCAGTTCACCAAGTGCCTTTGTGACGGAGACTTTTGCTTACTAGAAATGTCACAAGTGATCTTGTTTACAGCTGCATTGATTGGACTAGGGTTTGTGCTTTGCTGACTTTTGCTGACTTCTTGTGAGATTTGGACTTTGTAGAAATTGTAGAAATTCTTATTTAATCCCTCAGCAAAAAATTAAGAAAATAGCATGTGAGAATGTGCTTGTGCTGACGTTACTGTTAAAACCGCGTTGCAGTTGTCTCTTTTCAGCACTTTACTTCATACTTGACTGACACTTGTGATGAATGGGGACTTTAGCACTGGCTCAAGCCAAAACCAACACTGAGTGTGAAAGTGGAGAGTCACGGAAGGTCATTGGTGCCACACAAAAAGTGGGCAAAGGCTTTGGAATATACAGTGGCCCCAAAAAAGTGTACTGTATACATTTGCAAGTGAATATCTTTGCATTATATTACAAAATAACAAACCAAGTGGGATTTAATTTGAAAGAAATATAGCACAAACTCACTTTTAAGGAAAACATTTCACAAAAACACATTTGTTGGGTTTTAAAATAGAAAAAAGTAGATAAATTACCGTTCAATTTTTTTAAAATATATTTTTGGAAGAAGTCTCTTATGCTCCAAGTCTGCATTTATTTGATCAAAAATACAGTAAAAGCTGTAATATTGTGAGTGAAAACTTCCATAGTGGTGTGCTGAAATGTGAGGAAATGCAGATCAAAGTAGAAAAAAAGCAAAAAAGCTCCTTGTGTTTTTGCAGTATTCACTCTAATTCTTAGTTGAATTAAGAACTGATTTGCTAGGTAAGATTTGGGATGGCAACATATTCATTCATTTTTTATGTTTTTGAGAGAAGTCTCATGTTCTCACTATGGCTGCATTTATCTGATCAAAAACACAGTAATATTGTGAAATATTATTACAAATTAAAACAACTGTATTCTATTTGAATATATTTTAAAATGCATTTTATTCCTGTAATGGTAAAGCTGAATTTTCAGCAGCTGTTACTCCAGTCTTTATTGTCACATGATCCTGCCAAAATCATTCTAGTATACTGTCATATTGTCTCCAAACTTTTGAATGGTAGTATACATTGACATACAATTCAACATTCTCCACTATTTCGAAGTCATTAGGAAAATGTGATAAGTGATAATGATCATGTGAACTTTGTGCAGATGGTTAGAAGTATTCTTCATTGAACCAGAAGATGCTCTTTGGATCTGCTGTCATTAAAGCAGAACAGAAGCATTTTCCCTAGTGGTGTCAGACTTCTTGGACCCCACAGTGTCTATCCTGCTCGTTTAATGTGCGTTTAATGTGATAAACAGTTGAATGTAAATGGCAGTAGACACAGAGGCAGCTTAGATTGAGGATAGACACTGCAAACGTTACTTGAGCCCTGTGTGTGTGAGTCTTTGTGTGTGTTTCCTTGAAAGTGTCTGAAAAGGAGGATAAGGTAAGAGTGTAAGGGGAGAAAGAGGGGCCAGAGGCTGGAGAGAGGGAAAATCAGCACAGGGAGGAAAAGTAGATGGAGAAGAAAAAAGGAGTGCAGAGCTGGTACTGACATCCACTGCATCAGTGAGACATGCTTCACATTCCATCACTTCATCAGAGCTTGAAAATGCTTTTAATAGGCTCTTAATGGGACTCAAGCTGCTGAACAACCTGCTCCCACTCCCACAGTTGGCTTAAGACTAAATATTTACATTATCTCAAAGAGAAGACATGGCGATGAATACCTGTGATGGGAAAAATTGTGAAATATTATTACAATTTAAAATAGCTGTTTTCTATTTTAATATATTGCATCATTTATCCCTGTGTTGGCAAAGCTGTGTTTTTACACAGCCATTACTACAATTTTCAGTGTCACATGATACTTCATTGTTATTCAAATTTTTTATTTTTTTATTTTTTTGTAAACAGTGAAAAACAAGGATTCTTTGATGAATAGAAAGTTTAAAAGAACAGCATTTGTGAAATTGATTAACTAAAAGTATTTACTGTAACTTTTGATTTATTTAATGTGCCCTTGCTGAATAATAGTATTCATTTCTTAAAAATAAAAAAAACTACATTTTTCTGATCTTGAGGGAAACTGACTTCATATATCCATTAAAAATCAGCTTGAGACCAGTTTGTTAAAAGTAATTACAACAGTGATGTGAAGATCTGTCATCATCTGTTTGCACATACTACTTGGTTTCATGTTTTGTATCTAATGCAAGGCAGTCATTTTTAAATGTGATTTAAGTGTCCAACATGTCTAATATTTTTGGGGCCACTGTATTATAATGTTATTTGGGAAATACATCAGCCTTAGATTTTCTCCTTGATTTCCTGTTTATCCCATAACATTGGTGGCTGCTAACAACCACCGTTTGGAACATCTGCAGGTACATACACTGTAATAGCAGAACAAACATCGTCTGGGGCTTCATCTTTACCTGTACATCAGGATACTAACCTACCAGATGCCCATTTCCTGGATATTCTCACATGCTCAAGCCAAGGAGGACAGTCGGAAGAGTCTCTCTCACTTGAGATGCAAGCAAACAGAGGTTATAATTAACCACACGGGGCTAAGAGGATTTCTTCCTGCTCTCCCTGCCTCTGTCTCTGGGTTATTTAAAGTGAACCTGCCGAGAGAGAGAGAGAGAGAGGGAGGGTGGGTTGGACACTCATAGAGGAGGGGGGAGAGCTTAGCGGATCTGTGACGCTCTGTTCTGGCTCAGTCTGTGGTGTCAACATCTCTGTTTAGCATCACTCTCCCATAGCAGCCGATTCCACCTGCCTGCTCCGGCCGCTGCTGCAGGCAGGGGGTGGAAACGTACGGGACCTCAGCATCCACTGACTGACTTCACTGACCTGCAGATATGGCCAGCCAGCAGGACTCGGGTTTCTTTGAGATCAGCATCAAGTCCCTGCTGAAGTCCTGGAGCAGCAGTGAGTATCTTGGCGCTAAGAGCCGCGGGATCGCAGCCAGGGCTGGCGGGATGGATCCAGAATTAGTTTGCATGTGAGAGGGCGAGTTTGTTTCTCTGGTGCACGTGCTCTGGTGTTGTTGTCCTCTTTATTTTCATATTCTGGGATTTTATTAGGTCAGCTTAATATGGACTTTATGGCATGCATTGCTATATCTGTTTTCTTTTTTTGTGTTGCATGTAGTCAATTGATGCTCATGAATCAGGCTCAATGGGATACTTCATGCAAAAATAACAATTATGACATTGTTTATTCATCTTTATGTCATTCCAAACTAACTAATAAAACACAACAACAACTAGACCTATTACGTTATGTTATGTCAACACTGCTTCTATAAGATCTTGTTGTATGGAACTGAGTGTTTGTTACACGTTTGTCTTGAATTATGAGGTGGAGGTAGCTGGCATTTTTGTCTATATTGCTTTGTAATCCCTGTCCTGGAGTTCTGGTACACAGTATGCTCCCTAGAGCAGTGTGCATCAGGTGCCTGTTCGCACCAGCCTAACTGACCAATCAGCTTTGAGGGATGGTCAGCCCTCAGCCAATCAGCTTGCAGCAAGAGTGGCAGTGAGAATTCTGTGCTGATTTGTGTTAATCTAGAAGTGTTTCCTTAAGTAATCAATGTAAATTGACTTTTAATATCTTTTTAATACATATTCTTAAAGAAATTCATGTTTATTCAACAAGGATGCATTAAATTGACAGTATAGTACGACATTTTATAATGTTATAAAAGATTTCTATTTCTAAATGCTGTTCTTTGAAACAAAATAATGATCTTTAAAATAGCATCATATGACCCCTTTAATCAAAGAATTCTGAGAAAATGGTGTGTATATGTCAATTTTTGTATCCAAGTATTTTTTCATGATTTATACATTGCAAGTAGTTTTATATGTTGTTTTTACAGACCTATGTATGTGTAATTCAGAAGCTAATTTTTTTTGTGAATTATGAAATAGCTTCTTTTCAAGCCAGAGTGATATCAAATATTAATATTTATAAATATATAAATATTTCAGCTGTACAATTTAATCCTCAGTTTTTAGACCAAATCTCTCTCTCTCTGTAAATGGGTGAAACGTTCTTATCACTAAATCAAATGTGCTTTGCACAGTGTACCAAATATATTTTTAGCACTGGCTCAGAGGTTTAGAGCTGCGAATGTCTTTAGGCCTAATGGCTAAATCCAGGAAAAATGTCCTTGTTTTTTAGCTGTCCTAATCAGCATGTCTCATATACAGGTGCATCTCAATAAATTAGAATGTCGCGGAAAAGTTCATTTATTTCAGTAATTCAACTCAAATTGTGAAACTTGTGTATTAAATAAATTCAATGCACACAGACTGAAGTAGTTTAAGTCTTTGGTTCTTTTAATTGTGATGATTTTGGCTCACATTTAACAAAAACCCACCAATTCACTATCTCAACAAATTAGAATATGGTGACATGCCAATCAGCTAATCAACTCAAAACACCTGCAAAGGTTTCCTGAGCCTTCAAAATGGTATCTCAGTTTGGTTCACTAGGCTACACAATCATGGGGAAGACTGCTGATCTGACAGTTGTCCAGAAGACAATCATTGACACAAACCAAAATAAATGAACTTTTCCGCGACATTCTAATTTATTGAGATGCACCTGTATATGCAGATGTATCTCATCTTTCAGTTGTTTTGTTTGTCTTCCTGACCTTTCTATATGACACAAGCATTGCCAACTCTCTTCAAATGGTACAGTGTGCTCGGGCAGGTACACAACCTGATCCTGTTACTCCGGGTTATAGTATACTATAGGTGTGGATGCCCATGGGTGTCCGATATGTGACCTCTGGATGCCTTTTATTCTTTGAAGGGCCTGCAAGTCTTATTCTGCATGTTTAAAACATATTTTTTATCATTGCTCATGTCTTCAGTGTCTTATTTAGGGGTACAAAGTGAGTCAAGACGCCCTTGGACTTTGGTGTGAAATATCGACAGTTTGGGATTGTACATCAGTACGATGCTATTGAGTTTCAGCTGCAGATTCCACATCCATTCTCACTGTGAACTAAGATTTTTTTCTGTTTGTTGATGAAAGCAACCAGTGGGATATGAGTGGGCTTTGTATGCTAACCAGCTGATAACCATCTGAAAATGGATGGGGCTTTATAGGTCCCATTTATTTAGAGTTATGGCAGATGTCCCCAGGGGCCTTTTGTACACGGTCGGGGTCTATGAATGTAAAAAGCCCACATTATTTACATCAGAGGGAGATTTTGTTAGATGTATGTTTTTCCCGTGCTTGTTGTCCACTCCCTGAACAAGAAAAATGTTGGGAGGACACAACAGGATTTGTTTTAGAAAGAAAAAAGTGGTGTAATATATTTCTGCGTCTGTGTTTATGTGTGTGTCCCATGTCAGTGTGTGTGTGTGTGTGTGTGTGAAATAGAGAGGCGTTGTTCTGTGTCTTGTATCGTCCCTGTTGGGAGCAGCTCAATGCTCAGAGGCTCCTCTGCAGAGTGCTGATGTAATGCTCTGTCTGAGCTCATCTCTTGTTTGCAGAGTCACATGTAATGCATCAGGGTGCTGTAATCATCCTGACCGGCACTGGAGCGCGCAGACTGTGTGCCATCACAGTTAAAAACAGATTTTCTGAAGAAAATGAGAGTGGTGCTTGCATATGCAAAATGCCATGATGCTAGTGTGTTAGAATGATGCTGTCCGGTTGCTAGGGTGTTCTGAGCACTTACAGGGAGTCGCAGGTGGTTGTAAAGGTATTCTCTTGCTAGTTGGTTATACTGTACTTATTATGACAGTCACCTTGAAGCAACCTGATGGAATCACATTAATTTACTAGAAACTGATTACTAGAAACTAACGATTCTGAATGAATCTTTAGTTTCAAGATAGACTTAATCAGTCAGCGTAATTGAATTTTTTAAAAATTAATTTAAGTTAATTATTTTTTAAATTAATTTTAATTTTAAAAGAATCATATATAGTCCCTAAATTTCAGTTGAAGTGACACTGCTCATGAATTCTGTTTCACAAATAAATTTTTTTTGAAAGAAAAGAATACTTTTATTCAGCAAGGATGCATTAAATTGGTCAAAAGTCACAGACATTTATAATGTTGCAAAAGATTTCGATTTCAAATAAATGCTGTTCTTTTGACCTTTCTGTTTAACAAATAATCCAGAAAAAAGTGTCACGGTTTCAATGAATATATTAAACAGCACAACTGTTTTCGACATTGATAATATGTTTCTTGAGAACCAAATCGGCATATTAGAATAATTTCTAAAGGATCATGTGACACTGAAGAAAATTCAGCTTCGCAATCACAGGAGTAAATTACTTAAAAAAATTATAATAGAAAACAATTATTTTCAATTGTAATAATAATATAATATAAACTGTTTTTACAGTATTTTTGATCAAATAAATGCAGCATTGCTGAGAAAAAAAGACTTCTTTCTAAAGATTAAAAAACAACAACTCACCAACCACAAACTTTTGAATGGTAGTTCGTATATATACATAATATTAATATTTTGGAATAAATTTTAAATATATTATTAAAAATGAATAGTTTTATGTTGAAGTGTCATTTTTTAATTTTGATTTATATTTTATTTAATTTTTTTATTGTCAATCGCGATGCTTTATGAAATTTTAGTTTATTGTTTATCTTTATTTATTGACATTTTGCTGCTTGAGTTCAGTTTATGCATTTTGTTTATGCAATATTTTTATTGAGTTTAGCAAGTCTAGCTGGCATCTCATTTGCTGCCCATGGCGGTTTTCCCAAGGGAAGATTGTGTAATGGAGTCGGTTGGTGGAATTCAGAAGCTAGATATCTTACTTTACGCCATCTGTGTTTCTACATATGTGCAAACAAGGGAGTGAGAGTGAGTGAGTGAGTCTGTGCCCAATCGAATGATGTTTACACTGTTGGTTAGTGGCGGAGGGGAGATCAGGACGTATAGTGTGTACTCAGGGATAAATATAGCCCTGCAGCTATGCCACTGTAGCATGTCAGTCCTGCACACTTGCCCAGGCATCAGCTAAAAATTCCAGCCTAACCTTCAGTCTCAAGAGGCAGTGGACGTTTACACTGCAACAGAGAGCCTTCAGAAGAGGCAAGCACACGTGTGGATTTGTTATCACCTAATTTTCTAACTTTTGTTTTGACTTGTGCTGTAACAGTATGGGGCAAGTTGCGAATGGGAGAAGGTATTGCCATCACTGAAGTGACTGATAAGGACGTGTGAGGTTCGAAAAACTGGATCCCATTTACTGCTCCCCTACTATGGACAGCACAGTCATGTGCTGGAATAAAACCAGCATGGTGAACTTCATGAAAGGTCTGGGTAGGTGCTACAAAAGAGAGAGAGAAAAAGCAGTGAGTGAGAATCTGTCAGTAAATGACGATGAAACTTGTAAACGAACAAAGTGTTTAAGTAACAGAATTGGTAAAATGTGACATTCAACGAGTGCAAGGCAAGCCTCAAACTTACACATGAGCTTTTATTGCTGTTTAGATAATAGCAACATAGCAAAAAAGACTGTTTATTTTGCTGAAGAATTATATTGGTCTAAGATGGTTTGATGAAATTAAGACTTCATCAACAATAAATGTTTGTTGCTGACTTTTTGAGGTGCAGTGTATGTTAATGAATGATTGTGCAGTTAGGTAGAATGCTATAAAATGAAAGAAATATTAAAGGTGACCTATTATGCCCCTTTTTACAAGATGTAAAATAAGTCTCTGATGTCCCCAGAGTGTGTATGTGAAGTTTTAGCTCAAAATACCCTACAGATAATTTTTTATAGCTTGTTGAAATTGCCATTTTTGGGGTATGAGCCAAAACGCGCTGTTTTCTGTGTTTGTCCCTTTAAATGAAAACGAGCTGGTGCTCCCGCCTCCCATTTCAGAAGAGGGTGGAGTTTCTAGAGCTCGCGCACCGGCATGCCAGCAATTACAAAACACTCTCTAATGCACTGAAAATGTCAGAAACTGCTATTAGCGGTGTTCAGCCATATATGTTCGAACCGGTGTCGTGCCGAATTCTGCACCCTGCCAGATTATTTATGAATTACACAGACGGGGTGCACGGCACTATAAAAATAACAACATAGCTGGTCTCATGGTTCCATTGCGTGCTAATACGAACTTTATAAGTCCCGAATATGATTATGAGCTTGACAAATTCAAGCGGTCGATTTCACATTGCTTTCATATGCAATTTTTAACTACCACATTCCTATTCACGATCATTCTGGTAGCACGTGAAGGCAGCATCAGTGAAAACAGACAAGACAATGGTAGCTTTAGCAACATTAGCCTTACAGAGTGCCAAGAAGCTCTTTCAGAAAGGCAATTTGGAAAACAAACGCGTGATACTTACTTCTTCTAGATGGCGTAATGTTAGCTGCATCACGAACGGTTGGCACTGCTCCATCCTTCAGGAGCAACTTTTGTGCAAAACCTGCTTTATACTGACCCTCATTCACAAACCAGTCCGGTGTAAAATGATTCGCACGTACGTAAGCGAATTTCTGTAGAGTTGAGGAAGCATTTTCTTCGAAAACAAAATTAATCCACCTCGTCTTCAGTCGTCACATTAGCACCAATGCTAAAAATAGGCCATTGGGAGACACTGCTTATTATTTATGGGGATTTAAAAAAAAGGAGTGGGTGGATTTTTATCATTATAGGGTGGTTGTGTACACACACTGCCAACACACATTTATGTCCAAACACCTTACAAAAGTGAATTTTGCATAATAGGTTCACTTTAATGCAATTATTAATTATTAATTATATTAATAATTAACCATTTATTATTTTTTTAAATATATGATTTATAAATTAATCCAGCTATTAAAAAATTATATTATTTAACACATTTTAGTTTTACTGTTTGGGCTGCTCTTTACATTAAGAATATGCATGTAGTGGTGAGTTTTTGCACATTAAAAATTTATTAATGATGTGCTTATTAAATATATTAAAATACATTACACTTTAGTAAAAAGTAGAAATTAACTTTCATATTTGTTGCCCTTGTTGTATGTTTTTGGAGGTGAAATACGGTAGGAAAGCAAAAAACAGTTTAAGCCATGTGGAACACAGTCTGTTTTTGTCAACATATGATAAGGCTGTGTCTAAAACAAGATCAAAATTTGTTGTCAGAATTAACACTGCTGTGACTGTCACATGCCCCCTCTGCAACTCGACCGCCGTTACGTACAGTCCAGTCCAGTCCAGTCCAGTAGATTGTGTGTGTGTGTGTGTGTTTGTGAGCTCTGTGAAAGAAATATGAAAGTAATATGAAATTGCACCTTCTGCTTCTAGGGTGTTACTTTATTTTGTGTTGAGGAAAGCTGGGCATTACTTTGTGTGCACAGGTTGCAGTCGCTGGCAAGCTGCAGAATGAGAAGGGTTGTGAAATTCTGAAATGGATTTCACTGTCTGGATTAGGAAACGGTCATTGTCTGAAATACAATAATTGAATGTATTCATTCAAATAGTTTTTGACCTCTAAACTAGAACACTAGAAAATTCATGTGATTAATACAAAATACAATACGTTTAATATTTTAGACACAGTAAGATCACCTCATTTACATAAGACCTCATTATTACAACCCCTCTCAATTTGCTTGCCTTTTAGATTAATAACATTTATTATGTGTACTATTATTATTATTATTAAATATATATACAATAATGTAATATTTATTTTATTTATTTATAGTGTTAATTTTTTTCTTATTCAAAGCTTCACCAGGGTACAGCAAGCCTCCTGTCCCGCCGGTTTGCTGCTCGCAGGGTGAAAAGGGACCGCCCGCCATGATGCCTATCAGCGTGGACCCAGAGAGCCGGCCGGGCGAATACGTGCTCAAGAGCCTCTTCGCCAACTTCACCACCGTCTCTGAGCGCAAAATACGGATCGTCATGGCCGAACCGTTGGTGAGTGACAGTTCTGAACTATTGAAGGTAATGATCTTAAGACCTGTGACCATTCCAGTACCAATACTCATCTGTCTCTGAGGATTTTGGAGATGGCTGACCCATATGGACGGTGGGAATGGCTTGTTCAGACTGAATTTAACAATGAAATACAAGCTAATCTGGCTAATTCTAGTTGTTTATGTAGCTCAGCACGTGACCCTACATCTATGTATTGTTCTTGACAATAGAAATGAAATTTATATCTGACAGAAATGGAAAATGCAGATGAGATGTTAGTGTTAAAACACTTGCTCTTTTCAAAGGAGACCATGATCACTTACCAGCCTTGTTAGTATTTCCCAGACAACAGACAAATTTACCTGCATGCGTGTTTAACAGCGAGCTGCTAGTTTCTTGGCCGGCAGGCAGGCTAGTGTTAATGAACCTTTCCCAGGACAGATATATTGTGTCCCCCAAAACAGCTGCCACCAGAATGAGCTCATCTTTTGTCTTCTAATTTTTACTGAAAAAAAAATCAGAGATCAGGTTACCTGATCTGTTCAGCCACAGTTGTGTAGTGTATTGTTTAATAACTGGTATGTATTTACATAAATAATAGTATGACCTGGATTATCTGCAGTTTATTTGTACAGCAAGAAGCAGTAAATAGAGATTCATTCATAGCTGCAGTATCTTTTTTGTTTCTGGATATTATTTACTTTTCTTTCTCTTCGGACGCAACTAGAATGTTTTTATGGGGCGGTCATATCTTGAAATACCCCAGTCTTTTGATTCAGAAGTGGAGAAAGGTCCTGCTAGAGCACACGGCGGTCCATTAACCTCTTATAAAAGCCTTAAGGGAAATTGCTCTGTCCTTGTCTGCCCTCTCATCTGTTTCTCCCTCAAATGACTTCAGCAACTGAAATATTTATTAGCCTAAGATGAAAGAGGTGCTCTAGTGGGTTGAATGAGCTCAAATTAAATTGAACACAGTCTGAAAGTGTTATGTCTGACAAGCCCAGCAGGGTCAGAGAAGACAGCCTGTTCTGGGCCCAGAATCCAAATAACAAAATCATAATACTATTTGAATATCCAAATCACTTAGTAAATTTGCTTTCACCTGAAAAGAAGCTACACAGAATTCCAGGGCTTAATTGAAACATATTATGTTATCTGAGTAGGAGTACGAAATGTAGGTCAGTTTGGTTTTTTTACACAACCTGTGTTGTTTAATCAGCAGGTCTACAAAATCATAATACTATTTGAATATCCAAATCACTTAGTAAATTTGCTTTCACCTGAAAAGAAGCTACACAGAATTCCAGGGCTTAATTGAAACATATTATGTTATCTGAGTAGGAGTACGAAATGTACGTCAGTTTGGTTTTTTTATACAACCTGTGTTGTTTAATCAGCAGGTTTGATCTGTGATAGTTGCTAAGATCAGCTTTTTCATATTGTAAGACTCTGCAGGTTGCCCTGTTTGTATATACACACTGATGTTCAAAGGTTTGGGGTCAGTAAGAATTTTTTTTTTTTGAAAAGAATACTGTATTTCCAAAAGGGAAAAAGAATACTTTTATTCTGCAAGATAAATTACATTGATCAAAAGTGACAGTAAAGTCATTTTATAATATTACAAAATATTTATATTTCAAATAGTACTGTTTACACAAAAATAGTAAGCAGCACAGCTCTTTTTAACATTGAAAATACATCAGCATATTAGAATGATTTCTGAAGGATCATGTGACACTGAAGACTGGAGTATTGGTTGCTGAAAATTCAGCTTTGTCTTCACAGAAATAAATTACATTTTAAAATATATTAAAATAGAAAACATTTATTTTTAATTAGTAATAATATTTCACAATATTACTGTTTTTCGATCAAATAAATGAAGACTTGGTGAGCATAAGAGACAAAAACCTTAGAAAAATCTTACCAACCCTAAACTTTTGTAATTTACAGTAGCTTTTAGAATTCATGATGTTGAAACAGAGCCGCATTTAATCAAAGAAACCATAATGAATCACTTTCAGCTATAATTGCCTGAATCATATTTCCTCTAGAAAACCCTTTCTGTTGTTTTTACAGGAAAAACCTCTGGTAAAGTCTCTTCAGAGGGGTGAAGATCCACAGTTTGACCAAGTAAGTACTGTTTGCTTTCTGCCCCCCTGAACTTATGCGCACATCCCCACATCCAGTCTGTGAACAGATGTCCAAGCGGAAAGACAAGAGACAGCCCGGCTGTGCCAAAAATTAATCGGACTTTTTGAATTATTAAAATAGATTCATGGATCTGTCTGGCCTTTAAAGCATTCAGAGTGACCTCAGTAAAAGCCTGATGTGGTTTTTGGCTTGTCTGGCTGTCTGAGAGTGAGCGAGTCCATTTGCATCTCTGATAGATTATATAAGAGATTTTTATGCCTCAAATTCATGATAGATAGGAGACACTGCATGCTTTTGTGCAGTGTTCAAGACATTATTTCTTTATAATTTACACATAATTGCTTCTGATTGTTTTATACAGGGCTCAACAATAAAGATTGCATATAATTTTCATTGCAGATTTCCAGTTTTTCTTTGCAATTTGATAAAAAATGTGTGAGAACATAATAATATGAAATAAATATATAAATTCATATGTGTGTGTGTATATATATATATATATATATATATTTATATTTATAGAGAGAGAGAGAGAGGGAGAGAGAGACAAAATTTGAATTTGTAAAATTCTAAATGTAAAAATGGAATAAAATAAAATAAAATTTAAATGAATTCATTATAATTTTGCGTTGGGGCCAGAATGAGCAAGCAAAAAAAATCTTTATTGTTGAGCTTTGTTATATGATTATAATTCTCAAGCTCTGTTTTTACAGTTAACTCATTTGTAAATGAATGAGAAAAGTATCTGCAAAATGAATAAATGTATTAAATGTCCCATTTTTATTGCAAAGTTTCTTTTCAATTTGATTAAAAAGTGTACAAACATAAATATTATATAAAATTAATACAAATATAAAATATAAATAAAAATAAAATTATACATATATTTAAAATTAGATTTTTTTAAATGATAAATGTAAATATGGAATTTTTATTTTAAATTCATAAAAAGTATATAAAATTTTAAGTTTGTATCCAGTCAGGGCAAGTAAAAAATCTAAACCAAAAGCCAGACTGAGCAAGCGGGGGAAAAAATCCTTATTTTTTTCTTTGTTATTTGATTATTATTTCTAAACTTTATTATTGCAGTTAACTAATGTGTACAAACAAATGACAAAAGTATATGCAAAATGAATAAATGTAAAAAATGTCTACAAACCAGAATTTAATTTCAGATAACCTTGAGTAAATGTATTGAAAGCCCAGAATGAAAGGTCTTTTTTTTATTGCTGGCTTGTGTGTTCCCTGCCCTGAGTTTGTAAGTTTGTTTCTGTATGCACGTATATGTGTGTGTGTTGAAGGCAGGTGAATAGCAGCCTCATTCAGAACTCACAGGGCTGCGTTTGTACCCATGATCCCCTGGGCTTTTCAGCAGCCTCGCTGAGAGGGGATTCTTCTCCCAGGGTTCATCAGGGAATGAAGGGCTCGCAGTGTTCACCCTCAGCCCCTGAACACCACCCTTTCTCCCTCCCTTTCCTGTGTGTCGAGTCCTCACCAGGGACCGCCTTTCCTTCCTGCACTCATTACCCAACTCCCTCCTCTTTTCTCGCTTTCTTTGCATCTTGGATACACTTTTAAGACACATGCTCGCACAATGTCCCTGCTTTCACCAAGACCACCTCCACACTCAGAACAACTTTCTCCTGAATATGCACCATGAAATACATGGCCTACATACAAGTACTATGCACTAGGTGTATTTTTAAGTTTGTTTATATGGATATCAATACATGTTCTCCTTTTTTCAGTTGATCAGCACAATGAGTTCTCTGGCCGAGTATTGCCTGCCATCTATCTTGCGCACCCTGTTTGACTGGTACAAAAGACAGAATGGAGTTGACGATGAATCCCATGAGTACAGACCACGTTCAAATACAAAGTCCAAAAAGTGAGTCCTGTTTATATCTCTTAGATAAGGCTGATCATTTAAGCTTAATACAGTATGATTTTGTTAATTATGCATAGTAGAGTTAATTAATGCAAATCTGCCTCATGCATATTAAAGACCCATGAATTCCAAATTTGTGGGTTTTGTTAAAGTCTATTAGCTTTTAAGCCATATATGTAATATTTGTATTAATATTTTTGTGTAGACGTTTTCAGGATTTTTTCAGCATTTATTTGAAGTAGAAATATTTTGTAACATCATACATGTCTTTACTGTGAATTTTGATCACTTCAATGCATCCTTGCTGAATACAAATATTGATTTCTTTCAAAAATATGCTTAAAAATATCTTTCTGTGAGACTGCAATGCACACTTGGCCTGATAACTTCTATCTTAACCGGATGATTGACACAATAGTGCCAGAATGGCCCAGAGACATCAGATAGCTAACTGGGGTGTTGAGTGATGCTTCTGTGACTTCTGCTTCCTGCTCCATTTCATCATTGAGAAATTATATTTTAGTCTGTGAATGTGTGAGAGGGTGGGAACAAAATTGGCTTACATAATCTGTTTACATTCTCTGTCTCTTTTTCCCAGTGATGAGCAGCAGAAAGATTATCTGCTGGAGAGGAGAGACCTAGCCATCGACTTCATCTTCTCTCTTGTGCTCATAGAGGTTCTCAAACAGGTAAAACACACTGTGATTTGGATCTAAATAAGTTTAGATGCAAATGTATCTAACAGACATTAAAGATGTAACCAAATATCCGAGAATGAGGAGAACTAAATGTGTATCTATGGATTATCACCAAGAATGTGTGGTGGTTACTGCTGCTTCAAATTTGATAGCAAATTGTGTTTCCTTGGGCAACAAAATGGCAAATGTAGCCATAGATTAAGGTTTACAAGAGATTGTTGATGTACAATTTTGTGGTTATTATACAACAGTGTTTGAGATCACAGAAAGCCATAATTGGCCAATCAAAACCAAATATTCCAGAGAGCCATGTTTACATTGTAAAACTTAAAAAAAAAAAGTCATAGAAATGAGTAAAATCGTAAATGGTCTAAAGATTTTTTTCCTAACTTACATTATATCTAACATATAATCGACTCGATTACTCTTTGTAATTGCTTGCCCTCAAGCCAATGATTTATCTGTCAATCATCATTTCTTTTTGTAGATTTCCTGCTGTTAAAAAGAGGTTCATGAGTGAGCTGAAGGAGCTCCGTCAAAAGGAGCAGAGCCCATACGTGGTCCAAAGCACCATCAGCCTCATCATGGGCGTGAAGTTCTTCCGGGTGAAAATGTATCCTGTCGAAGAGTTTGAAGCCTCCTTTCAGTTCATGCAGGTAAATGTAGACTATAAAGACATTTGGATAATCTTCCTTTCACAAAGCACAACACTGCTACTGTAGCCTTTTTATTGTTTTTTTGTTTTGTTTGTTTGTTTAATATTTTATTTGTTATATTTATTTTTATTAATTTATATTGAATATAGAGACTTAGATAAGGCTATAGCGATAAGCTCAATGATATTAGCTCTCAAGAACGTGAAAGCTAACCGTTTTTCTCAATGCTTTGCTCCTTTCTGTTACAGGAATGTGCGCAGTATTTCCTGGAAGTGAAGGACAAAGACATCAAACATGCTTTGGCTGGACTCTTTGTGGAAATTCTAGTTCCCGTAGCAGCGGTTAGAGAAATGTTATAAAGATCTGTCAACACTCTGCAAATTGGATGTTATTTACATGTATTTTGAACATTACAAACCACTCGCGCATCATTTTATATGACCTGTTGGTCCAGTAATTGTTTTAATAACATATATAGCCATATGTCACTCTTTTCAATCCTTATTTTTGTTGAAATGTGTAAAAGCATTTTGATCCTCATTATTATTGTCTTTCCGTTCTTTAATAGGCTGTTAAGAATGAGGTGAATGTTCCTTGTTTAAGGAACTTTGTGGAGAGCTTGTATGATACCACCTTGGACCTTTCAACAAGAAAGAAACATTCTCTGGTCAGTCTGGTTTTCATAAGATATAGTGTTTCGTACTGTTTGAGTGCACTTTGAACATCATGTACCCTTCTCTCTGGTTTTTATAGGCTCTGTACCCACTAGTGACATGTCTACTGTGTGTCAGCCAAAAGCAGTTCTTCCTCAACAGATGGCATGTCTTTCTCAACAACTGCCTCTCCAATCTGAAGGTATGTAGTTTTTATATTTGCTCTTTATTTATTCATTTAACTCAAAAGCGCAAACTGGATTTCTCACGACATACACTCTTCATCATTACAGAGCAAGGACCCTAAAATGGCACGGGTAGCACTAGAGTCCCTCTACCGACTTCTGTGGGTCTACATGATTCGCATCAAATGCGAGAGCAACACTGCGACGCAGGGGTAAGCACATCCGTGGTCTGCTGCTACTTGTATTGAACCATGGATTTAAAGCCACTACTAAAGCGCCCACTTGAGACCCCCAGAGACAAGCCGTGGGTATGGTCGCAGTAAACTGATTTGGCATAATACGGTCCATCTCATGAATGCCAGCTTTCTTGGTGGAGTTCTAGAGGGCTGAAAAAAATAAATAAATAAAACAATTCTGTACCCTACCCCACCCATGAACCCGGGGTGTGACCGCAACCCTCAGCCCTTCTCATTGGCAGTGAGTAAACAAGCAATACATTACAGTCATCGTGCCTCAGGCCGAGGGGTAATTACTGACAGTGCTGCCAGAAATGGGTGGAGAAAGGAGAGAACCAGAAGGGAGGCTGGTGGTCATGGGTGATGGGTGTTGGAACGCCAAGATCGTCCACTGGGAATCAAAAGCTTGGCAAATTAAACCATATACACACCCATGTTTGATCTTCAGGGCAAGAAATGAACATTGAACAATTGTAGATGTCTTATGCAGCTAATCCATAATAGATCGATTGGGATTTATGTATTAATATATGGTTGACGTTGTTTGGGAAAGGATGTACATGCCCTTAGAGGATTTCAACACCAGAAGGGGAAGTTGTGGTGATAGTTTTTGAACTGTGGGGTATGTATACAGCATACAGTAGTATAAACCGAACACTGCATGCATACTAAATAAAGTACTATAAATGAACAGTATGCTTTATGCAACAGAACAGATTTCAAATAGTAGTATGCTACCTAAAAATGTTTTATCCTATATATTTCAACTTTTGAAAGTTTGTCCAGTGTTTTTTAAATTATTATTATTTTATTCAGCAAGGATGAATTAAATAGATCAAAGTGACAACAAATACTTTTACAATGTTACAAAAAATTACTTTTTGAATCAAATGCATTTTTGAAAAAAATATATCAAAGTTTCCTCAAAAATATTAATCAGCACAACTGTTTCCAACATTGATAATAATACGAAAATTTTCTTAAACACCAAATCAGCATATTAGAATGATTTCTGAAGGATTGTGTAATAATATTTCACAATATTACTGTTTTACTGTATTTTTGATCTCGTAAATGCAGCATTTTTGAGCATAAGAGACTTCTTTCAAAAACATTAAAACAACAGACATTACAGATCCCAAACTTATTTAAGAAGGCATTTTAAATATCTAAAGCATGGGATGGGAGGTTAGTTCTGGAATCACAAGGATCATAAAATGCTCAAATTAGGCAGAAGAGCTGGTGTTGGGCCAGTTCGCTGTTCTTCACATGTATTTAGAGAGATTATATTGCATTATAGCAATATATAGGTATATAGCAATATTGATATTGCATTATAGCAGCTCATAAATATCAGAAACCTTAGATTTGCATGCCACATACCAAGCTGTGACTTAGGGGTTTACAACCACTATGAATAAGCCAAAGAGGACAAACCTTGCTAAAAAAAAAAAATTCACAAATAGGTCGGGGCTCAGGTCTGCCACTGTAATGGAATGCTAATTATAGCAAGCTATCTGTGTCACTATGCTTTGACCTTCTTTTAGTGTATGTCAGTGCCTGATTCTAAACTTGATCTCATCCCCACAGCCGCCTCAACTCGATTGTGACGAACCTGTTCCCTAAAGGATCCCGCAGCGTAGTTCCTAAAGACATGCCTCTCAATATATTTGTTAAGATTATCCAGTTTATTGCACAGGTAAGTCTGCGATTAAATGACAGACAGGTCTACAACTAAGACCTAAATGCTAATCTGTTGTTAGCTGTTAAACCATTATACAAAACCTAATTCTCATTTGTTGTGAAAACAGAGCATGTGTCTAAGGACAAAGGATTTAGTGTTGTTGCCGAAACAAATGCGCAATGACAGCTAGATTCCCATCGTAATTTGCAAGACTCCACATATTTAGTGTTCCTGATGCAGCATGTGTTAAAATATTTACATTTCGCATACTGCATCGTTGCAGATGTGAGTTGCATTTCCTCATTCTTCTTTTATCTTACAGGAAAGACTTGACTTTGCAATGAAAGAAGTCATTTTTGACCTACTGTGTGTTGGGAAACCTGCAAAAGCCTTTAGTCTTAATCCAGAGGTAAAGTATTGTCAAATTACAATAGATGTAGAAGCTTTATTTCAGTGTAATGGCACTCATATCTTGATTTCTTGTTTTGTAGAGAATGAATATAGGTCTCAGAGCATTCCTGGTCATTGCTGACAAGCTGCAGCAGAAAGATGGTGATCCCCCCATGCCGAACACAGGGGCCACGCTCCCTTCTGGAAACACACTACGAGTCAAAAAGACATTCCTGAGCAAGCCTCTGACTGACGATGAGGCCAAAGTCATAGGTGAGTTCATCTGTTGTACTTCTAGAGGAATAATTTCTATTAAAAAAAAAAGGCTGTTTATGATTTTTTTTGTTGTTGTTGTTAAATGAACAGCACAGGCATTCATTTAGCACACTTTTCAAGCAAAACATTTTGCAAAAAAAAAAAACTTTTAAATTGTAAAACATTAGATATACTATTTAAAATTTAGAAAAAAAGTATTTGAAACTTTTATAATATGGGAATAATATTAATGCAAGAAAGATAGCATGGAAACTTTTCAAACATTTAATTTAAATTATATAACAAATATGAAGATACTTCATTTGCCGTTTCTGCTGATTTTGTTGTCTAATGCAATGAAATCCATACACTTTTTGTTTATTTGTGGATAATTGTGGCAAAACTGAGGTGCTTAAGCTCAGACCGACAAGGCCTACGATCAATCAGTTCCAAAAAGGAATACAAAATCTGTGGTAAAAGAAAAGTAAACAAGTTGTTAAAAAGATTGAATCCGAGATTTGACAATTATATAGCATAACAATAAATTTATAAGCAATTTTTTGCAGACTGATCATTTTTGACTGGGAACACCAGGTGTAACAAGGTGGCAAAAAATCCCCAAAAAGTATCAAAAAATAAAAAGAGAAGTTATGTGTGAGCAAAGTCAGTAAGTTTTAGTCCAATCCAATAACATTAACTAGCATTTGTGGAAAAAAAGAAAATCCTCTTTGGATCAAAATGACCGGAACACAACAAGGTTTGACCAAAAACATACAGAAAAGAAATTGTCTTCTTGATCATATTGATTGACATTTTCTCATTAAATTCTGTTACTATTGAAGAACATGCCAGTCTTTTACAGTTTTGCATTATTTCAACCATCAGGAATGTCCATCTATTACCCCCAAGTGCGGAAAGCTTTAGACAACATCCTCAGACACTTGGATAAAGAGGTTGGTCGCTGTATGATGCTGAGTAACGCACAGATGCTGAATAAGGAACCCGAGGACATGATTACGTATGTCATACACAACACTCTGTCAAATAATCTTTTATCTGGTGTATCTGATACTCTGCACACACCTGTCTGACGCATCAGTCCAAATCCAACGAAGCTTGAGCTTGTCAGTGCACTTAGCTCTGTTTGACTTCTCTTTATACTGACAGGGGCGAGAGGAAACCTAAGATTGACCTCTTTAGGACATGCATGGCCGCCATTCCACGCATCCTTCCCGATGGCATGTCCAAGTCAGAGCTCATAGACCTTTTGGCTCGGTGAGTGTGTGTATATGTTCAATGCATGAATGGGCGTTTAAGCAGGAAGCATTTGCTTCAACGAATTGCCCAATGGTCAGGTTTCCCGAAAGCTTCAGTAATGTGATCCCTCCCAGCCCCCAGCTTGAATAGGATGTCCCAGTGCAATCTGAGTCAGGGCTGGTCTAATCAGACTTAATTCTTCATGTTCAAGCCATTAGGTCAGTGAACTAGTTCAGTGTAAAGTTGATCTCTCTGTGAACTTCCTCCATTGGAGCTGGAGGGACTTCTGCTCTGTAATGGAAGATCTTGGAAAGTATGCTGATTATTTATGAGGATTGTGCGTGATACTATTTTGATATCTATGGGAACATTTTAGGGACACACACACACACATCAGGCTACTAAAATTAAAACTAGAACTAAAATCATTAAACAACATTTTTGCTACTTTAAATAAAATAAACATGAAACTGAAATAAATTAAAATATATTGTTTTTATTTCAGCTAGGTGTCAAGGCATCATTTCTCATTTTCTTTTAGTTTAACTTGAAGTACAAAAATAAATACAACTGAAATAAAAATTCAAAAATATAGACATATTAAAAAAAAAAAACGAATAAAAATGACAAAACACAACAAAATTACTAAAGCTTTAAAATTAAAATAATACTGAAATAATATCCATGATACTAAAATAATACTTTTATATACATAGAAAACATGTATGCAAGTAAAGTGTCTACTTTTATGTTTCAAATAACTTTTGTGAAGATAAAATGTCAAAATATGGGTGAAATAATGTTCCATCGTCATTCAGCGTAACACATTGACTTGTACTTTATAAAATATATGAAAGAATATGTGATCATACTACATTTTATTATATTGTTAAAAATTTGTTAAAATATTATATGATTAAAAACTTTTCTTGCTAACAAATGGGTAAAACCTAGTGGTTAGAAGGATAGTGGCAAAGATTAGTAAAAATTTCACATTACAATTAATTCGTTTTTTGGGGGGCTGCACTGTGTCTTTTAATATCAACTAATGATTCTTGTTCTAAATATGTCTGACAAGATTTTTTAGTATATAAACCCCTTTTCGTCTTTGACCAATATTTATATATTTATATATTTTTAATATACATATATGTTTTTTCCCCACTGTATTCATGTTTTTCTGTCTTTTAACTGCCAGGTTAACCATCCATATGGATGATGAACTGCGTCTGATAGCCCAGAATTCCCTGCAGAGTCTGCTGATGGACTTCTCAGACTGGCGGGAGG